GCCCCGTTCCAACCGGTTCGGTTGGAACGGGGCCGGCGGCGTCCTCGTGCACGCGCGTGGTGCACGCATGCGTACTAGCATCTGCGCGACACTCCAGCTGCTCCTGGAGGATCGCGCAGGCACTGTATGCGTCCTGCACATGCGTGGAAGCGCAGAACTCATCAAAACCGGGTAAGGACCGCGGGCGGGCGGGCACGCCCTTCGCCGTTCCCGGAAGTTACTTACTTCCGGGTTCACTGACCAACCGGTTCGCGGCGGTCCCTGCAAACTGGTTGGTCGCCGAACCCGGAAGTAACTTCCGGGAACGGCGAAGGGCGTGCCCGCCCGCCCGCGGTCCTTACCCGGTTTTGATGAGTTCTGCGCTTCCACGCATGTGCAGGACGCATACAGTGCCTGCGCGATCCTCCAGGAGCAGCTGGAGTGTCGCGCAGATGCTAGTACGCATGCGTGCACCACGGGCGTGCACGAGGACGCCGCCGGCCCCATTCCAACCGAACCGGTTGGAACTGGGTGAGAAACCCACCCCTGGGCTATAGGAATGGTTACATGTGTTGATGATCTTTGAACTGGGATTGGGTGGTTCATCCAAGAGGTGCTCTTGATCTCTCAGTGGCTTTCAACACCATCGTATCTTTCTGCTCAGCAGTAGCTGCAGTACTGCAATAGCCGGGGTGGGGAGGCACTGTGCCACAATAGTTCTCCTCGGTCCTCAGCAGTCAGTGCCAGTCACAGTAGTCTGGAGGAATGAGATTCACCTGTGAACCCTCATCTTTGACGTCTCAAAGATGAATGCTTTAATTCTCCTGTGTATCTAAATAAAATCACTGGGTGAAATCATCTGTCAGTTTGGGTGGATGTCATTAGTTATGCTGATGATACCCAGGTACACAACTCAAACTAAGACTGTGCAAGTGAAGCTGTTAGTGTGCTGCAGTGGTGGGATTCAAATAATTTAACAACCGGTTCTCTGTCCTAATGTTTTCTTGCAACAGCCAATTCACCAAACTGCTCAGAAAGACAACAACTGGTTCTCCCGAACTGGTGCGAACTGGCTGAACCCTACCACTGGTGTGCTGACCCAGAATCTGGATGCTGGTCTTACTTCTCCATTTGAGACTAGTGGACAATTTGGGGATTCTCCTGAACTGCCAGCTACTGTTCAAAAAGCAGATGGCTTCTCTGGACAGGAGGTCTTTTGCCCTAGTCACCTCATGATTAGATTATTGCAATGCACTTTCTCCAGGGCAGCACTTGAAGACTAAGTCACAACTGATCCAAAATGCAGCTGCATGGGAAACAACAGGAATCTCTTATTGTATCCTTCATTCATCACTGCTTCATGAGTTGCATTGGTTTCCAGGTGCAATTCAAGACGCTGGTCACCACCAATAAAGACCTTCCTTCCTGGCATAGGGCTCGGTTATTTGCAGGTTTGCCTATTCCCAAAATGTTTAGGCAAAGTGGGTGCACTCTGGGTCTCTTCAGTTGAATTCTATTTAGCAATAGCAATAGCAATAGCAGTTAGACTTATGTACCGCTTCATAGGGCTTTCAGCCCTCTCTAAGCGGTTTACAGAGTCAGCATATTGCCCNCGTGCACGAGGACGCCGCCGGCCCCGTTCCAACTGAACCGGTTGGAATGGGGCGAGAAACCCACCCCTGGCTCCAACCCAGGAGGCTGAAGAAAGTTTTCAAGTTTTCGGTACAAGCTGTTAGAAGCCCTCAGAGAGTGTGTAGTAAGAAACTGCCCCGCCTACCTTTTGAAAGAATCACGTTATGTAACAGAAGTGAGAGCTGTGTGAGAGAGATGGCTTTCAGCTTAAAACCCCAAAGAAATGAGGGGAACAGCCCATTCTGTTTTTGAAAAAAAATTCTGCATGCCAATGAAGCAACCTCCAGAGCTGAAAAAAGGATTGCATCAGAAATGAAAAACCATGGTTGAATCATCTGTCTAGTTTTTCAAAAGATTCTACAGAGAGAATGTCTCCGTATGCCAATTGTTATCAGCTCTCAGCCATAAGGGGTCCAGTCCACTTCAGACCATCTTATTTCAGACAAAATGATAAGACTAGGTTGGTAAGACTAAGACCTACCAAAGCTTGCTTCACCATAGTTGAAGAATCCACAAGTGGTTGGCTTTGAAAAAATATTCTGGTTGAAAACAATGATTTACAAACCAAGTAGGTTGGCTGAACATAAATTCATTTGATTTTGGCTTCATGTATGGTGTGACCCATCTCAAAGTATTAAGCAGGTTAATCAATTGTTTCAGTGTCCTGCAGACTGAAGCCACAATAACAAGGAACTCCAATGAGGGTCAAATGTTATCCAGGTGATGGAGGAAACCCTGTGGCCCTTGCATCACACTTAGTCATGTTTCTTCAACTGTGGATAATAGAATCAAATGGGTAGGTTGACAACTACTCTTGAAGATTCCAATGTCCACATTTGTTCTTCAGTTCTTCACTCAACTTTCCTGTAGCCACTCCAAGATTGCTCTTCATCCTTGGTTATCTCCCCAGGTGAGGACTCTCTGCTAATCTCTGGGGGAGGGCTTCATCCAATGGGCCCTATATTATTGCAGCAAGAAAAGTATCACTAGTGTGGGTCTTCGAATCCAAGACAAGTAGAGACAGTCCATGGCACTGTTCCTGAAACTAATTCATGTGTGATTTTCAGAACTTCATCACTGATAGATGGTCCATAGAAGATGGTCCATCTCAGAATGGGGGAATGCAAATTACGTTCCACCTCTAGCATGCCCACTTCAAGAGAATGCTATTGGGCTGAAGGTTTATCATTGCAGCACCAAAAGTACTTTTCATAACATATCATCTCTGGTTAAGGAGGAACACTGGCCAAAAAGGGAACTATGTCGTGAAAAAAACCTTCCATTCTTTTCTTGACAGAGCTAAGGTACAAACACACATTACCTAATCACAATCCATCTCTCAGACAGATTCTTCAGGAGACTAATGCACATCTAATGCAAAACGTATCTGCGGCTTGTCCTGGTGTGATTTACACTAGCCACACCTTGCATCAAACCAACAATGCCAGAACATGCTAGCAGGTAGCGGACAAGGTTAATGTATTTTATTGAGTGTTTGGTTAACCCTCTAACTATCCTGATGCTAATAGGAAAGGAAATCACATCCAGGCAATTGGGAATATTCCTCTGATTCAATGCCTGAATTCACACAACATGCTAAGCCAAGTTATGCTTTATCCGAAGTCTGCTAACTACCTGGGTTGACAAGCCACAGTCAACTGTAACCTATGATTTATACACCACAAGGATGGGTGGGTCACACAACATGCTTAAGCTACAAAGGAACAAACCGTATTTCTGCCTTGGTGCTTTCTCTCTACATCTAGAGACTGACATTTTAAAGGGAGCTGAAAGTGGCCTAATGCTCCAAACAGATTTGATAGGTTTTGGAGAGCTGGGAGAGAAATATTGTCACAATTATCTTAATCGAAAGATCCTTGCCAAAATACAAATGTGTATTATTCTGATGCAAATTTATTTTTTTCACTGTTCGTGATGGACGCTTGGAGATAGATGTGTCTTCTTTGTAAAAACAGTGTTGGCAAAAAAAATTGAATTTGGCTTTAGTCCTAGCACCGTGGTGGCGAACCTGTGGCACACTGAGACATTTCTGAGGGCATGTGAGACGTTACCCTGTTAGCTCCAGTGCGCCAGCTGATTTTCTGCCTTGATTTTCAGCCATTTTTTGCCCTCCAGAGGCTTCCCTGAAGCTTCCGGAGGGCAAAAAACTTCCCACAGTTTGTGTGTTGGGGTGTTTTTTGCCCTCCGGAAGCTTCAGGAGGCTTCCCTAAAGCCTGGGTAGGGTGAAAAACAGCCCAATAGGGCCTGCCAGAAATTTGGGAATGAACTTCTGGGTTGCCCCTTGACTATTTTTCTCCCTCTGGAGGCCTCAGGCGGCTTTCCTGAAGCCTGCGGAGAGCAAAAAATGGCCCAATGCACAAACTGGAAGTCTGGATGTTTCAGTGAGGCCTGCACACATGTGAGTGGGGGGGGGAGGGCATTGCATTATGGATGTGGGCACACTCATGTGCAACCCCCTCAATGCTCCCCATGTTTTGGGGAGCATGCTCCCCACGCCTCCACAAAAAGTTTAGCCATCACTGTTCTAGGACCTAGAGCAGCACAACATCTGACGTATTGCTTTCCATCTCTGCTGCATTTCATCCTTTGGAGATGTAGAAGGGTACCTAAGGTCTGTGACACCGTTCAGAAGAGCAAATAAACTCCAGGACCAACCTCTTCATGACGTCTCATGAAACAATCTTCCTCCCAACGCAACTTGTTATGTGTGACAGCTGCATCTGGTAGTAAAATGGTGTATGCAGTTGGTGCGCTGGAAAGAGGCCTATGGGCCTTATGCTGCCTACTCCTGGGTCTTTGTGAGGCACAACATTAACTCAGTAGCCTTTGCAGAGCGGCTGAGAAAGAGAGAGAGCAGACACAATGCTTTGGGGGGGGGGGAGAGGTTCTCCTTATAAAATCTTATGGCACTAATATCATTCCCTTCTCAACCACGCTTTATGAGACTATTTAGTGCCACAAAGGCCTAATCCTTATAGCTATTCTGCTTCTCTGAGCTCTGCCGTGGCCAAGAATGTAATCAAAGCTCTCATCAAAGATGGTGGACACATGCTGCGTTTTCAAACCCAGAAGGCGAATCAATTACATTAGAGAGGCTGCCATGCAGAAGGCCTTGCGGTTGGGCTGTGGGAAGAGCATCGCGCAAGGTGGGCCGTGTGTCCACTCCTCCTTTGTGAGATGAGTCAATGCCCCTGCTTCCCATTGCGTCCAAGCTTCCTCCAGTCTGGGGGAGGCCTCCGTCTGCTCCATGTAATTTGATAGCTCTCTGGTGAGCCTCTTTCTTGATTTTCAGCAATGTATCAGGTGCTTCAGGCTCACCTTTGCCATCTCGGTCTTGGGACATAACACTGAGATCTTGCTGAGAGCAGCTGTAAGAAACCTGTTCAGGTAGGTCTTCCATGGGGAATGTTTCTGGCTCACAATCCTCATAGGGAGTCCTTTCCAGGTCCAGCATATGGAGTTGGGAACCACAATCTCGGTTGGAGGCTAAGAAATCCGAATGGACAATGACCTCGGCTTCCAGTTGATTGAGGCCACTAGGTGGGTGCTCCTTTTTCGCTTCATTCTTAGGAATAATAATAAAAAAGGATTCTTAGAACTCTAGAAATGGACTTGGCCCCTGAGATCAACAAACCCAACCCCCTGTTAGTGCAAGAATCCAAATTTAAATTAGTAAGAACTGTCAAAGTATCTTCTTCAATTATATGGCAAAATTCAAGAAACCAGTGATCTAACTCTGATAAGAAAAAATTAAGGCATTCATGTATGAATCTCTTTTGAGACCTGTAGAAACTTAATGTGCAGTGTAATGGCAGTGAAAATATAAGTAAGAACTGTCAGAGTATACTCATGAACTGGAATAGGGCTTTAGTAACAAGGTCAGCCAATGGGGACTGTTTGGAAACTGAAACAGTATTTGCTGGAGACAGCTAGGAGCCTGGGTGTGGCTTAGGTTAACTTCTGTGCAAAAGCAGCAGTCTAGTCTGCTGGAAGTGAAATTGGAAACTGTTCTCTCCTCTGCTTGTGTGTTTGCTTGTATCTACCATGTTGGAAAAACCAGCCTTTGGTGTTGTATATATGACTTACGTGTTATATTATATATCAAGAGAAGTTAATGAATCCCGCTGAATCAGTTACCTCTGTGTGCTTTCTGAATATGATTGCTGCAACAAACTCTGACAAGAATATATTTCATGAATGTACCCAGGAAGCTCAAGGCAGACACAGGAGACACAGGGGAAAGATGCTAGGTCACCCAACCTGCCGTTCTTTACAGTTGCTTGGATTGGACCAGCTGTCAAACTCAAAGTCATTGAGGGCCGCGTCAGGGTTGTGTTTGATCTTGGGGGCCGGGATGGGCATGGCCAGGGTGGGCGTGGCCAGCTCGACGTCATGTCATGTGCTGTTTCCATATCCAGGTCAGAGCAAACTGCAGACCGGA